AGGAAAAACGTAGTGTTATTCCTTGTAGTTCATCTGGTAGGCTTCTATTATCATTTAAACACTTATCAAATAATCAAAATGAAAGCAGATCTTCTGTTCAGGCATGGTCTCTGATTCATTTTATTCACATGTACAGTATGTCAGTTCAAAGCTTTAAGCAAAAGCCTTTCTTGGAAATTACATTATTGTCCAAGTAATTTTATTTCATTTTCGTACTAAAACCACAAAGCACAAATTATTTATGTATCTGTCTAAGTTCTATAAAAAAACGTATCCCTTGTGATTTTTCAGTTCTTTTTAGTTAAGTGTCTTAAAGAATGTCCCAGGAACTTTTTCTATCAAACCCACCATCTGAAAGTAATGAGATTATAACAGCCTTTTCCTCCTCAACCTTGTTTGAGTGATGTCACACAGCAGGAGATTATGCTGGTGATATATTATTAAATAGTTCCTATTCTAAATGATTGAGCTATCACTTCTGATAGTTAAGTCACAATAATGTTAAGAGCACATATGCATTATCAGAATTCCTTGCAAGGATTGTCTATATAGTACATGAAGCACTGAGCATAAAATGGACTACACCAAACAGCATGCTAGACACAACAGTGCCAAAGAGGGGCAAACACATTTTTCAAGCCAACATGTCTTTGGAAGGTGAGAGGAAATTGGACCACCAAGCAAAAACCCATGCAAACATGAAGCAAACAGGCAAATTTTACACAGAAGGAGCCCCAGGACTCAAGACTGGGAGAGGCAGCAGTGCTAACTACCAAAACACTGCACCACTCTTTAAGAACAAATCTTTTTTTTTTTACCTATATACATACTATAGTTCAGTTGAAAACATAGGAATACGAGAACATTGTCTAAACAAGGCCTTCTTATGCTGCACTTTTATGAATGGAAAGTCTGCATAAGATTAAACATCCTGGAACAAAAACATGTCCAATCATGAGATTATCACCTTTATCTCTTATGTATAAACATTTCAAGTTAGCAGGAGTGATTTCTTTAATTTTTTTTTCTTCATACATTAATAAACAATCTAATCACCACACTGTCTCACCCAATAGAATAGGGTAAGATACTGTACGTGTATGTCCTTAAATCTGACCAATCATATTGGCTGATGACACGAGCGCTTTTAGTGGGCATGATTTAAAGGATCTCTCCACTTGAGAAAATGAATGGCTTTGGCAAGCACCCACTCGGGTACAACTGACGAAAGATGAGGCCTTTTGTTCTGTGGATTGTGACCCTCTGATCTAAGAGGTTACTATTTTGGAAGCATGAAGAATAAAATTATTATTTTCACTTGTTTCAATAAGAGATGGTGCCAGTGAGAGAAGTTAAAAGAAATATTCAAGTAACTCTTACAAAACAGGCCTTCGTGAAGCAAAACAGTAAATTCGGTACTTAGGTCAGTCCTCATCCACTTACTGTATGTCCTGTATACAGTATATAAAACACAACGATTAGTTGTAGCTTATATGGACGACAAAATTTGAGAAGGATGATACCTCCTGTACCACAGAAAAAAGCACAAATACAAATTTCTCCATGAAGATTTGTATAAATTTTAAGGGTGACAAAAACCCATTGCTTGACCGGGGCTCCATATTACAGATCTTCATTTAAAATGACTGTTCTAAAGAAGTCCGAACCAAAGAAACCCCAAACCTAAAACTGACACCAGCTTATGCACTGTTTTTCTGTTGTGCCTCATCAGAAAGCTGTCCTTTCTACCAGGTTACCATAGAAATGTCATACCGGAAACCACTCAGCTTAAGGAATCTTTTGAATGCGTTATTGCTGCTGTTCATTGGAGGTTGTTTTACAAACCATCCAGGGAAAGAAAATATTATTAAACTAGCAGGTGCGTTTTTTTATCTTCTCGACTCACTCCAATTGTGCAGACACACGCACCATGTCTATCCCTGCTTGTTGTTACTGTGTAACGGTTTCATTTCTTTCATATGTCGTCCTGAAATCTAAAACAACATGCTCTTATCAATCTAGATGAATATTCTATTCCTTTGTGACACAAATGTGCATGTAAACGACTAAAACAATCCTCTAGACAAAGAACAGCACTTTGGGAACACTTACATCTCAAACAGCTCCACTGCTTGGGAATAACAGCGAATCTTCAATACTGAATCTGGTTCCACTCACCGCACGTACAGTACAAGTGGTCAACACACCGACATACTGCGGTTTCTCCAGACATAATACTTTATAAAGCCCCGTACATCCAGAACTGGAAGTACCCCTGGCCCCCGAGACACAGTGATGGACAGTCTGACATTTCATTTAATTGAGTTATTTGTAATGGCCAATTTTCCCAGAAGTCAATTAACCTACCAGTTTGTTTTTAGACCGTGGGAGGAAACTGGAGGAGCTGGAAGAAACCGACGCAAAAATGGGAAAAAAAATACAAAGTCCACTCAGATAACACCCCAGGTTCAGAATCAACCCAGGGCACTGCAATGCAGCAATGTTAACCACCGCACCACTGTCCCACCTGTTGCTGTTGTTACCTTAGCCAATAGTCTTAGCTAAAGCAAATTATAATACATACAGTACATTGTATGTGTAACATGTACTGTATAAACAGCCTCAATTAAGTCACAATTCTCCTAATAGTATGAGAAGTCTTGATAGTACACTCTTGTTAAATATATTATTTCATCTACAGTATATTTTACAAAATGAATCAGAAACTTTCTACTGCCTTGGGGAAAAAAGTTTACAGTGTTCTGAAAATGCTCCAATATTTCATAGGGATAATCTTAAAACTTAGGATATACAGTATCTTCTAAACATTATACTGACACTTGTGAGTTTGCTAAAAAAATATTCAATAAAATACATAATGTGTATTTTACAGTATTTTGAAAGACAGTATTTGTGAAAAACAAAATCCTTAACAATCAACAGTATCTAATTACTCTTTTGTTCTAAAATGTATTTAACATGTTTTTAACATTTAAAATGTTATCACCATTTATTTGCAAAAGATGCATTTATTCTGAGAAGATTTTGCTAACTTCGAATACTGTTCATGTTAAGATTAACTTTATACTTATAGTCTACGTGTATTCCTACATTGCAGTAATATTGGTGTTAACCAATGTATTTTGCAGTGAATATATCAGACTTTTCTCCAAGCAATTTATTCTCTCCATGACTGCGACACTAACAAACTAAAACATTAATGTCAGAACACAAAATGATTCTTATGGTAAGAGTTTAGGATTAGTAACACATCAAAATATTACATTTCATCTTTAACCCAAAAAGGGCATGTTTGTTTACTGATCCCCTCATAAATCTACACCTTCATTTAATCTTGGCAATGAACCCCCAGAGTATAGCTGGATTTGTCACTTTAAAATAATATATTTTCCCCATCAGAAGTTACTTTTTATATCAAAGATTTACTTCCCATCCCGAGGTATGAAATTCAGACCTCCATCCGCGGAGAGTAAATCTCACCTGGGAAAGTAAATTCAGTCTCATGTTATGTGTGTGACTATGTCTATTAAAGTATCACAATATCAAACTAACCTTTGGATTTCCAACAGGTGAGATTTCTGATTTCTCTCGGCCACCTTATTGGGTTTTGTGTTTCAGATTTCGTGATCATTGCTTGATTGCCTTTTTCAGAGGGGAAGCAGCTGGAGGGGAGGGGGACTGTGTATTCAGACGGATGAGTATCATACCACATCCTCTGTACTGTCAGAAGCTTTCTTCGCACACAGTGGAATACTTTGCTCCAAATGACTCCAGACAAGACAAGAGGGCTCTCTCCAAATAAGGGTCATGCTCAGAGAACCGAGGCCTGTTATGAAGTTGTATCAATACAATTGATGCTGAGTGCCAAAATGCTTCTTCTACATTGACCTAGGAAGCAGCCTTTAATTCATAAGCATTTACACAGGACTATGCACATACTGTACTAGCAAAATTACACACCCAGACCTACAGTAAATCTATCCAGAAACTAGCCAGCACAATCCCCCAAATGTATACATTTAAAGAGACAGACAAATGATGAAATTAAGAAAAAGAAATTGTTGGAATGTGTACGGTACAGTATATATTCAATTACTTTTTCAAAAATGTATCCAAATGTGTCTTTATAAAGCAGTTATAAAAGCAGAGTTGTTTAAGATACATGCTCTTCCTAACACAGATTAGTAACTTCTGGTCTCTTCAACCTTTATCCTGCCAGTGAAACTGTGATGTGTTTGTCTGCTTGGTTTGATCTCCCATGAGTTTTAGCCTATTTGAATAACTTCATAAATCTATATACATTATATATGTTAAGGCTTCATGCACTCAAGCAGTATTTGTGGTGTTAGAGAAACATTCTATTACAGGAACCATGTGCTTAATGTTCGGTTATTGAGCTGCAGAGGGGAGAAATACATCTGGCATGCAGTAAAACCGTTATGCATGTATTTACATTACAATTGCCCGGAAGCAAATGTGTGTGCATGGAAAAAAATGTCCTTTCTAAAGGACAAAACTGGATTTCCAATTAATTAATGTTGGAATTATAATTTTAGTTACAATATGTCTTAAGAGCTACAACACATACTGTATACACAGAAAAAGCAAAGAACTACTCGGTGGGGTTATGTTACAACCTAATGCTTCAGTATTTTAAACAATTCAAATAATTTCATCCAACAAAATGGTTAACTATATATATAGAAACTTCAAATCAAAGCTTGCAACTGCTCACTCATATCAGTTGAAATCTCTTCATATTCCACTTTAACAGAATCCTTATGCCAAAGGTAGGTACCAGAGTCATGGACTCGAAATGACACCACTTTTATATTTTTATTAACGTTTTACATTTCTAGATTTTTACGTTTAAATTCGTTTGTGTCCTCTAGAAGAAAAAAAAAAGAATCAAGCCTCAGATTTGTTAATCCGAAATAGTTTAAATTGCGCTTTACTTGCTATCCATCCGTTAGTCTTACCTTTCGCTATGAGCTCTTCAATGTCCTGGTCGAATCCAAGCCGGTGGCATTTGCTCCAAAGCCCCATGTTGGTGGAGTTGTACTGCCGGCTGCACTCGTCTGCCGCGCTCATAGCGAACAGCTGCCGCCGGTTCCTCGCCAGCAGGAGCTTCTCCTCCCAGCGGTCCAGCCTCGATCTGCTCGCCCTCAGTGGGAGGCTGTTGTTGGGAATGTAAATAAAGCCTGGGTCGTTCCTGCGACTGGAAAAACTTTTGCACCTCTCTCTGTATCTCCTTGCGTCCGTTTCGTACCAGTGGTCGGAGCAGATGGCCACCGCCAACATGCCGAGGGCGCACAGTGCAAGAGAGAGGCCGGCATAGAGGAGCAACTTCCCAGCAGCCATGCTCGTTTTTCTCAGAGCCGCATCAGCACCACAGCAGCACGGACAGCTCCTCTATGTGCACCTGCATTGAATTACTCAGCTTACATCACCCCTCGGGACCAATAGTAATACCATCATCCAGGCGATAAACATGCAAGTGAAGTTAACCTAGGCTGAGGTCATAAATTTCGGGATTAGTAGCTTTGTATGGGATCTTGTAGCTTTATACTGTTCCCGGGAAGGGAATGCAGCAGCTTTGCGGGCGCTCAGCGACTGAAAAGATGCTTATCTCATTCTCCGTTTAACATCCATCCGCTGCTCTTCCCTGACAACTCGCTTAAATTAGAGGAGACGGGGATATCCACAAAAGAATCGGAGCAAAACGTCTTTCACGCTTCAGAGGGACCCGTCTGAACCTTTGAAGAGAGACAAAGAAGGGAAGGTTAACGATTTCACTTTAAATCGTTCATTTGATACATTATTTCCCTTTTCAAAAGAAGATTACACGTGCATATTGCGAGTGAGGGTTAACACTCCCTCCAAAGGCGTCGGCGGTATTTATTGACGGTAATATTTAACCCAA